ACGTAACACGTACACTACACACACTACTTATATATATATACTATAGTATATATATAGTATATATATATATTTACAAGAAAGCTCTACTTTTGGATATTGTGATTTATTTTGTTACGTAAAACACATTTTAAATGTATATAACATTTCATAAGAAAGCTTATGAAGTTTAAATTATGATTTGTTTTTGGGAAATGAGTGATATTATACGTTATTCTGTTTGAGTATTTGGTATTACCAACCTGAATGTCATCTTGTTAGACACATGGCCTAAACGGCCGCGTCAGAAAACCCAAGGTTTAAGCACAGTCAACTCTTTATTTAGAACTGCTGATTAGACGAGTCATCAGATCAATCATCAGCGGCTACGAGCACTGAACCTTCCGATCCACAACACACCACGCTAATCAGAAACCATACCCTTCCATATTTTGGTTAAAAAGATGTAATTAAAACGAGTTATCTTTAACGTTAATGGTTGATACTAATTATATTTAACGTTAATGATTGATACTAGTTATATTTAACGTTAATGGTTGATATTAGTTATATTTATAGCTGATGGTTGGTCATGTGTAAACTGCGCGTTTAGTGAATTATTGCAAATTACTTGGGACGTGTGTAGAGAATAGTTCAGTAAACGCAAGCTGTGTTAATAGGCATTCCCCTTATGTGAATACCTTTTCTATATTGTTAATTTCTAACGAGGACGTTGTTCTTGTCGCTAAGCTCCATCTAGACAAGTTCAGAGTTACACCCAAATTGATGCCTAGTTCACGTGTCGTTTTTATTGACGTCTGTAATGTGAAAAATGATAAAGTATGTTAGCCACTAGTTTTTTATAACCATAAACTGAGTTTGAAATAGGATTACAAGTATATAAATACGGTACAAGAAAAATATATTCAACTTTGGCAACTTTAAATGTGTTTGTAATACCATCGGACCGTGCAAAAATCACTGTGTATGATTTCCAATACTGTAGTTTTATTGATTATTAATGGCTGGAGACGGCTTGAATGGGTAATGAAGAAAAACTTTAATATAAGTTTAACATAACAGCACATGTACAACGTTTCGACAAGGTTTTGTCATCATCAGGTACAAGTAATTTATACTGACAC